TTGCTTAGTTCTTTCAGATGTCTAACTCTTTTCCCTCACACTCAGAAATCCAAAGAACTGTATCAGGTCCTTATCACAAAATCAGATTGTTATCTAGTATCTTAGAAACCAAGAAAAGGAGCCAAAAATTCATTAATCCATTTATAAAAAGTTGGCTCTGTTCACACATAGTAAGACAGGCATGGATAATAAAGGTGACATGCCATCCTACTTCTTTTTTAAAAAGTCCAGAACTTAAGAAAATGTGCCTTAAGTAACTGTTAGCCAAACTTCCTTGTTTTCCATCAGAATAATACATAATCACCTTGCTTTTTTTTTTTTAACTTTCCCTTTAAACATGGAGTACACACTTGTGTTCACCTTCCCTGAATCCACTCAGCAGTAAATATTCCATGCCACAGAGTTGTAACAGGCTAGATTAGGTGCTATCCTGACAGCAGTCACCTTCTCTCCGTGCTGGTTTCTTGATGCTTCTAAACCTGTCAGGGCAGAAACTCCATCTTCGAAGCCAATCTCTGTTTCATCTTTGTGCGTATTCAGTGCAGTTATGGTGATGCCTCTCCTGGAGATGAACTGCAATCCTGTCTCAGATCTGCATTTGAAAATTTCACTTTCAAATCATGCGGCCTCGTGTCTAAAAGTAGAATGTCGAAGTGAACGTTGTCAGAGTCTTGAAGTTCTGGGGAAGGAGGAAAAAATAGGGTTTGGCAGTGCTCTCTTGGGTCCATCCTTTCCACATGACAACATTTGGGGAAACTGGAAGGTACAGTACGTCTGGTTAAAAGAAGATCAGATTGTGGGGAAGAGTGTGAAAAAGGAAAAACTACCGGGGCACTTCTGACGTAATTGCAGAAATTTAATTTTGCTAAGCTCTGTTCTTAAGCCATTCTACCACTCTAATTTAGTATCTTCCTTTGTTCTCCAAACAGCTCTAAAATCTGTCATGCCTCCGCAGACATGGTAGCATGATGAGAGCACAGACTTGGATTTGAGTCCCCCGTCCTCCTTCCCACTAACCTTAGGGAGGTCTGGCCTGAGTCAGTTTCCTCATTGGAAATGGGGGCGATGATCCCTATTATTGTTGTTGTTCAGCCACTAAGTCATTTCCAACTCTTTGCATACTGATGGACTGCAGCATGCCAGGCTCCTCTATCTCCCAGAGTTTGCTCAGTCATGTCCATTGAGTTAGTGATGCTATCTAACCATCTCATTCACAGTATTTGTGGAAAGTAATGGAGTCAGTGTAGGTAAAGCACTTGGCACTATACTAAGCCCTCAACAAACACAAGCTGCTCCTGCAAGGCGGGTAGATGGTGGTGGCAATCAGACTGCTTCACACAATGCCTGGTATTTAGTAATCAATCAAAAACTATGATGTGCCAGTAGCTAGGATCTACTAAGCAAAGAAACACTCCCTTCTTTCTCTGTTAGTGACAGTGGTATCCCACTGTTGTTCTCTTCCACCCTAGCCAAGCTGACCCATGCTATTGTTGTTCCCTCTGCTTAAAATGTGTTTTCCAGCTTGTCATACTTCTTCAGAATCCAGCTCAAATGTTACATTTCCCTGGAACTCTCCTCGTAACCCAAAGAAAACAAACTTAGCCTCTCCTTCTGGCACTCAGTACAGTGTGCAAGGTCCTAGAAGTTTGTTCATATCTGTTAACCTCATTGGACTTTAATCTCCTTGATTCTGTAGACTGTCTTATTTATCTTTGCTGCCCCCAGCACATCATATAATAGCTGGTCCATAGTTAGTGTTCAGGAACACTGAACTAGTATTCTTTACCAGTGGATGAATGAATATGTTTCTCCCCAAGTTCCCGGGTTTGCACTGAGGGATTGGTCTCTCTTCTCTCCCCTCTCCACCCCACTTCTCTTCTCCATCTGCTCTACTTCTCACATAAGCTAACACTGTACAACCTCCGAGCTGTACACTTTGCCTGCCTCTCAGCACTTCAAGCGGACGGGTCTGTCAGACGGGTTCGCACATCCTCATCCACTTGCCTGCACAGCATAGTCCACCACTCATCCTGTCTCACTTCTCTGGCCGACAGATTCACAAATGCTTTTCAAAAGTCTGCTTTGCAGAAAGTACTATGCAAAGTGCTTTGTAGGGTACAAGTTTTTAAATATCTCAGGGAAAATTTTATAAGGAATATCACATTTTAGACTTTAAATATCTTATTGATAGAGAATGGGGTGTGGGGAGAGTACCAACATTACAAGTAAATGTGAGGGGGCCAGAAAAGGGAGGGCAGGCCTGTTTATGCTGTGTGTGTGGGGTCGGGGGAAGGCCAATGAGCAGAAAGTATGAACAGCATAATGCATTTTGCATAAGGCTTCAGGGCACAAAAATGCCTTCACTTTATTCTTTTTAATATTTATTTCTCTGGCTGTACCACGTCCTAGTTGCAGCACATGGCATCTTTAGTTGCGGCATGGAAATTCTTAGTTGCCATGTGTGGGATCTAGTTCCCTGACCAGGGATCAAATCTGGGCCTCCTGCCTTGGGAACACAGAGTCGTAGCCACTGGACCACCAGGGGGGTCCCTGCCTTCATTCTTAAGTCATTCGTCCTACTGCGTCTGCCAATCAGAAGCCTTGACTCCTTATCCAAAAGTCACTTCTTCCCAGTGTTTTATAACCAACCCTGATTAGCACCCACCACTTGTAATTACTTTAAACTTGTGGATGCACTGTATCCCTTTACTATTTGATCATTTTCTGTGTTGCTGTGGTCCTTCCCACTCAGACTGGCAGCTCTTTGGTGACTAAGACCAGCACATCCCCTTACCTTCATTCTTCCTCCTTTTCTGCCTTAACTCAGTGCTTGGAGCGGTTTTCTTGCCACACAGCAGTTAAGCAGGGTCCAGATCTGATACTCCACTTCATGTTGTTCATTTCCACCTCAGAGATGAGTCAGACAGGATTCCTGTCCCTGGGGAGTCCATATTCAAGTAACTGGTAATTATGTAATTATGAACAACTTACTTAACCTTGTATTCTAATTTGTACAATGGGATTAATATCCCTCCCCTGCTCGCTTTAAATTTGGTAATAAGGACCATATATATAATAACGCTTTAAACTCCACTGCATTATAGAAATGTGAAGTATTAGCCGCAAATGCTTTTTGCATGAGTGGAAGTCAAAGAATAATTTTCCTTCCTGTGCCCCCAGCTGTTGAACACTTAGGAGTTCTGGAGCAGGAAGTTAAGATTATGAACAAATGAGAAACTAAAGAGGCCCTTCTATTTTTAAACTCCTTGGACATCAGTCCGGTGCTCCGTGACTACCTCGTGACCATTAACACTATCGCCAGATTACCGAGGAACTTGCTACTACACAAAGCTCTGAATTAGTGGTGGTGCTTTACCAGGCAGCACCAGGCCTGGCAAACCTAGAGCCTTCTTATTGCCTCTCAGACAGAGGCCTTTAGGAACGAGATGAAAAGTAGCTACAGGCAGGCCCCCTGGGCAAATAAAGAAGCGAGTTATCTGCGTCTAAATAGTCTCTGAAGGATGCTGGTTGGGGATTGATGACCACCGTGGTAAGTCCTTCGAGTTTGGGAGAGTGGAAAGCAGGGTCCCCAGGGCTTCCATCAGTGACAGGAGCCTGAATTGTCAGAGAGAACCATGGCCATAAAACCACTGACAGAATTAAGAAATGGATTGTTGTCATCAGAAGCATGTATTCAAGCACCTGTCTTCTTAGACCAATCCGCTAGTCGTGCAGAACGAGTCCCTCACCCAGTTCTGGCTCTGACAGCCTTAAGCAGTTATGTCTCTTTCCTCTCATTCACCGTGTGGATGTTTACTGAGCCAGGGATGTAAAGACAGAATTCAGTCCCCACTTTCACAGAGCTCACAGCCCACCCTCATGAAATAGAGGGAGTTACAGAAACAGGGAACTGATAATAACTGAAATCAGTGTGGATATGATGGGCCAGAAGACGGCGTGCCATGGAGTGGCCTGCAAGGATACTGTCAGGAATTTTGGAAAGGAGGAGTTTTGTTATCCTTAAATGATCAGGGAAGGTTCTGTAGGAGAGGTTGCTTTATAGTGTTGGCATGAGAGATATCCCAGAACCCTTAGGAAGCAAGGCAGTAAAGGCCCTGAGATGGGAAGAAGAGCTGTCTTGGCAGAGGTGGTGATAATCCTCTGGATGAGGGGCTTTGGGGTGGAGTGGAATGAAAATATGCTGCAATGACTGTGATGGTAGTTGCATAACTGACTACACACAAAACTGTGATGTTATACACTTTAAATGGGTGAATACTATAGTACATCAATTGTATCTGGATAAAGCTAGGTTTGTTTTTTAAAGAATCCATTAGACAGAAACAGATATGGGGAGAGCAAGTCTGATAGGTCTGGGGTTACAAAACTTTAGGAAAGAGACTCCCTAAAGAGGAAAGAGATTAGGTCTTTGACGTTAAGGAAGTATTGAACTCGTGGAATGAAACGGAAAGGTTGGCATTTTGTATCTAACGAAATATAAGCCGAAAGGGACACATAGAATGTGTACCTGCGCCATCACGAGGGCACCAAAACGGAATTGTAGAGAAAGCGGACCTCTCCTCCCTAGGTTAATTTGATTTGGAAGAAAAAGGGTTAAGACTATCTTGTAGAGAGGTTACCGACGGAGGTGGGAACCGAAGAGTAAAGAATGAGTAGAAGCAGATAAATAGATACATGTCCCCATCAGCTTATTTTTTCAGGTTGAATGTGTGGATGAGATCATTTTGGCCTTGAGTCATTGTATAGAGGAAAAAATGGACTTTAGTCTTGACTCCATGAGCCTCTAGTCCATTAACAATGAGAACATAAGATAAGTTTAGAATAATGAGACGAGCAGGAGGCAAATGAAGGCAGAGTGGTTTTCTTTTGTTGTAGTTGTCATTACTATTCTTTTGTGAATCGTGGGAGAACTAGAAACCTATTCTTTCCTCCTCCACTCACCGTCTGACTTTTGTTCCCCAATGTTCATTCCTTTCTAGGACATGGTCCGGCGTGGAGAGATCATAGACAACGACATCGAGGATGAGTTCTACCTCCGGCGCTTGGATGCCGGGCTGTTTGTCCTCCAGCACATCTGCTACATCATGGCAGAGATCTGTAATGCCAATGTGCCCCAGGTAGGAGGGGCTTTCCTGGGTGGGCCCGTCCATCCCTGCCTCCTTGCCTGCCACCGGCTTAGGGAGAGTCTCTCAAAGAAGGAAGTGGATCACACACTCCTTGAATTCCCTTCACTCTACGTGGGCCCTCTTTCTCAGGGATGGGGGTGAGGTGAATATTTCCAATGTGATGTCTTCTGATGTCTACCAAGACAAATGATGCTCTTTCTTTCTCTGTCCACTCTTCCTTTTCCTTATTAGATTCGCCAGAGGGTTCACCAGATCCTGAATATGCGTGGAAGCTCCATCAAAATCGTCAGGCACATCATCAAGGGTGAGTTGGATGTTGCTTGTGTCTGGGGCTCCAGGGAATTAATTAGATGATGCTTTCTTTCCATCTCTGTCTATATGCCTGGAATTTGGTGCAGCATTCTCTGCACTGCAGGCTTAAGTGTATTGTCCAGTTCAGTCTGTGTCCAGGTCATCCTGTCAGAATACCAAAGACTAACTTAGTTAATCTCTGCCTCTGATCCTCCGCTTCCAGAATTTTAAAAACACAAACAAGAAGCACTAAGGATTGGAAATGTAAAAACATACACACACACACACACAAAACAAACAAAAAAATCCAGGTCCAAACTTCATGTAGTGAAAGGAAATTGCTTTCTTAGGGGGAAAAAAAAGGAAACGAGCTAATAAGAACTACCTGGAATTAAGGCAGAAGGAAGTGAGTTTGAGGCAGGGTAGTGTCGGAGAAAAAGCATGCCTGCTTTCCAGTGCCAATTCTGCCTTCCCCCAGCTGTGTGAGCAAGATATAGGAGAAATTTGGAAAAGTTCGTGAGATGCTACATGACAGCATCCAGGAAGTGGCTGCTAGTAGCCAGCACACAGGAAGTGCTCGGGTGAATTTCCTTCACATTCCCCAGCGGGTCCCTCAAGCACTGTTGCCTCTGTGGCTGGACCTGACTCCGCTGGAGCCGCTCCCAGGAGACCTCTGGTTGGCGAGCACGCTCTCAGTCAGCGTTGTGATGCAGTGCCCGCCTGTAGACCACTTAGCACAGACCAGCACAGATGGCAGCAGGAGGCACGTGCTGGACGTTACTGATAACACTGGAGTTCAGCGTCACGGTGGACGGCACCGCAGGCACATCGGGTCTCCCTCTGACCCTCATTCTGCCCACTCCTTAGCTGAGGAATTAGGCTAGATTTACTTGAAGGGCATGTGGGTAAGTGGCTTATAACTCCCATTACAGGTGGGAGATGAAATGTGGAGATAAATGATATAAAGTGAGGAGACGTTAAGAGCCCTGGGTTCTGGGATCTGGCTCCTGGAAGTGAATCCTGAGCCTGATGTTTATGGTGCTACCTCAGGCAAGATATCCAGTTGCTCAGAGACCTCCTAGAATAGGTAAAAGGATTAAATGAGATGATATATGGAAAGCATCTCCAGTTCATAAGTTCTTGGTAAATGCTAGCTGGGTATTTGCTGTTTGCTTGGTAAATGGTATTGTGAGAATTATGAAATGTGATGATAACTATCGTCAGCAGTGTTACAAGTGAGGCACGGCTAATATCCCATGGGAAGCTGTGTGGGAGTGGGAACATTGAGCTGGGTCTTAGACATTCCAAAACAAAGGAACCATGTGGGTGAAAACCTAGGACTGGAAGCCACATGATCATCACCGCCCTCCCTGGCAGGTGGGGGTGGTAAATCTTGTGCCCATTTTGGAGATGGAGCCTATGAGGCATTGGAATTTATTGCCTTCCCCCTGAGAAAGAGGAAAGGGGGAACCGTTCATGAGCCTCACCTGGCGTCTCCCGTAGTGGCCTCCTGGGTGCTCCCTTCTCCCCCTCAGTGTCACAGCCACGTGAGTCACTGCTCCGGGTGTCACGCTGCCTCCTCCCTCAGGCGCAGCTGCGGTGATGTGCAAGCCCAGCCTCTAAAGGCTGGATGCCCACGCGTTCAGTTAGAACTTTTTGTGACTCTCAGCTCCGCGGTCTTGCACTTAGGCTTTTCCCTGCACCACCATCCGCATGATCGAAACAGTGATCTTCTGAGAAAGGAAGAGTGTTTTTAACACCTCGTAGGGGGATGCTTTTCTTCCTGACATCCCAATATGTGTACCTGAGGTTATTCAGGGTTTTCAGTTGTTGCGAGCCAGCCTCAGTGACCCTCAGAGCCCGGTTTATTCCCCGAGTGCCTGTTAAACTGCTGGGCGAGTACTGGGTGCTGAGTACACATTTGTTGATTGGCCGGGTGAGCAGATGAACAGCCCAAACAGATGCTGCGTTAGTTCCCACCACTCTTGTTCCTCCCCACAAGTCACTTTCTTTCCCCCACTGTCCAGACTCTCGGGTCCCTCCTTCCAGACCCAGGTTCGGCTCTTCAGCTCTCTCTCCAGCCCCCTTCACAGCCAGTCCCTTAGTAAATCTGCCATTCCTGCCTCCAGCCTCAATCCTGAATCAATCCACTTCTCTCCATCTGTTATTTCCCATCATAGCACCCTGTTTATTTCTTTCCTAGCCCTTATCACAGTCTGTAATTATTTTTATTTATGTCTCTGTTTACTTGTTCTTTGTGTCTCATGCATTAAAATGTAAGCTCCGTGACGCAGGGCCATTGGCTTGATCCCTGTGTCTCCTCAGCACCTAGAGCAATGCCAGGCACATAGTGGACACCCAGGGACTATTTCAAATGTTGTTGAATTAAACCCTACCCTTATGTGAATTTAAATTGGCAAATATTTACTGAGACTCCTCAGGGCTCAGCACAGTGCTAATACTGTACTACTAAGGTGTCACACAGCTCCTGCCCTCATAGAGTTTTTAGTCTTTTGGGGCGACATGGTTTAGTCGCTGAGTCCTGTCTGACTCTGCAGCCCCATGAACCATAGCCCGCCAGGCTCCTCTGTCCATGAGATTATCTGGGCAAGAATGCTGGAGTGGGTTAACATTTCCTTCTCTAGGGGGTCTTCCCAACCCAGGGATCGAACCCACGTCTCCTGTTTGGTAGGCAGATTCTTTACCACTGAGTCAAACGAAATACATGCTCCAACAACTACTGAGCCAGCGTTGCTGGGTGCCAGGCTCTGTATCCGGGACTAGAGAGACAGGGAAGAATCAGCAAGATCCCTGTCCTAAGGGTTCATGGTCGAGGGGGAGAGAGATTGGAAACTAAATTATAACGTGATAAGTGCTGCGTTGAAGTTGTGAACAGAGTGTTAAAGGAGTGATAAGAGGCAGTAATGGAGGCACAGGCCACACCCGGGAATCCCAGGGAAGAGAGAGAGGATGCTCTCCGGACTGGGAAGGGTGTTCAGTGGGGGAAGTACATCCCAGGCAGAGGGAGCAGAGGCCTGAGGCAGAACAGGACGTCAGTGGCCGTCATACGGAGTCTCCCTCATCAGGGGAGGCCTCTCAGGGATGCGGGAGGCTAGAGCATCGGGTGGGGTTGGGAGTGTTTCTGGACAAGGCTCTCGGGTTCTGTCGGGTACACTGTGAGTTTGGAGGGACAGGCAGTGCCTACACACCTTTGTTGGCCAGTGGAGAGCAGACATTCTCATCCGGGCAGGAAAGGTGCTAGTTTGGACAACTGGAAGTCTTCACGAGTGAGGTGATATTTAAAGCCAGGGAATCAGATGCCACTGCCCAGATCAAAGATGTCCTCACAGGATGCTGACCACAAAAAAAAAAAAAGCATCCTCTCCAGATGGGAGGCTAAGGTTATAATAAAGGGCTCACACTGGCCCCAGGAAGCCCTTCTGTCTACGGTATTGGGTGACAGAGCTATACCACGGTCCACCTTTCCTCAGCCTGTGAATGTGGTCCAGCAAGCACCCTCCGGACAGTGCTGAGTTTGAGAAGGGGTGAGGCTACCACGGGACTGGGTGGGGGGTGATGGCTGGGCTTCTGCTTCAGGCCCACCTCTTAAAAGTCTTCACTCCCTCCCCCAGCCTTCGTTCCATCAAAATGCGCAAAAAAACAAAGCCTCATAAAGAAAACCAGCTCATCAGTCTGTCCTCTTTGATTTTAATTTTGTTTTTCAGTTTGGGTTGCTTCCTTTTTTTTTTTTTAATCTTACTAATTAGATGCAAGCTTTTTTCTTTGATTTTATGGCCTACATATTTCCCAAGTTTTGCTGGCAGGATGACAGCTGATGGATCCCTTGGGGTCTCAGGAAAACGCTGATGAGGCAGGCCCAGCAGGGGACTCTTCCCATTTTATTTCTGTCCCCTTTCTCAGTTTCACTCCCTCCTTTTGTACTGGGGGTGCCAAGAGAGCTGGGAATAATTGATGGCTCATTAAAGTCCCTCGGTCTGCAGGCTGAGTACTCGGTGCTCCTGAAGTCCAGCCTTCCCTGAACAGGTAGCCACTCTGGCCCAAGGCCTGTGGCACCCACGTGGGGGGCAGCGGTCTCTGTACTAGAGAAGGACTGCGTGCTTCACACAGGCAGTGACAGTCGTCCTGCCTTTTATCTTCTAGTGTCTAGGCCGCTCGTGCCACAAAGAAGGAGCTCGGCTAATGCTTACTGGGGATGCACTTCAGGTTTCTTTGTGTTGTTCCTGAAATCAGGGTCACAGTAGGTAGAGTAGTCACTCCCAAGCACGTCCTCTGTGCCCGGCTTTTAATGTATGTTCTCCGGTTCTCACAAGAGCCCTAAAAGCAGGATTACAATCTCCATTGTGCCCATAAGGAAGCCAAGACCTGCGGAGGTTAAGCAATGTTACCCAAGTTGCTCTTAATGCAGGAAAACTGGATCCAGACTCAGTCAGTCTTTCCATCTGGCGGAAAGGAAAGGTCTAACTGGGCCAGTTGGCTGATACACTACTCTAGCATTTCAAGAAAGAAAATTCAGGGCAGCCATCTTTTCAGAGCACCCAGTGGTATCACAGGGCCCTCAGTGGGCTCTGTCCACTTTATTTATTTATTTATTTATTCAGTCCCATCGCATGGGGAATAAATAACTGCTACACAAAGCAGACTGGAGTCAGTGCTAAGAGATGCAGTGGGAATCAAGAAAGCACAGTTAATTCTGCTGGAGATGGAGAGAGAGCCTGAAGATCCAGAGAGGCTGCAAGAAGAGGTGCTTGTTTTTGTTTTTTTAATTGTGGTAAAACATGCACAGGAGTTACCATCTTAACCATCGCAGCCATCACCACCCCCTCTCCACAGAACTTACTTTCATTTCAGCAGAATTGAAAGGCTGTACCCATTAAACCCTTCACTCCCCATTCCCCCCTCCCCTAGCCTCTGGCAACCACCCTTGCACATTCTGTCCCCATGAAGTTGATAACTAAATAAGAACATGGCTTCTCGAAACATGTGACACCTCCA